TATGGTGGTGGTGGTGGTGGTGGTGGTGTTATGTGCCGTAACTACGGAAGTAGATTGTCCAACCTTCCTTCTGAGGAGTGGTTGGTGGGTTTGAATCGCCAGCCTTCTGGTCAGCAGTCAAGTGCCTTAGGTACTACTCTAAACATAGGCAAATAAATTCACATGACTCACTTTATTGCAATATTTGCTTTGTTGTGATGGTCTGGAACTGAAGACACGATATTTCTGAGGTACATTTGTACTCTACACAAGACTCTGAGGACAGGAAGAGTAGTGCCTCTAACCCAGGGCAGCTTGAGACAAACATATGTGCCTAATTAAAGCACAAAACAGAAGGTGATTACTTCCCTTCATTAGAGCTTTTCTGATCTCTGGCTGGAAGTGCTCTTCCTGTGAACTCCCACTTCACTGTCTCTGTGTCTCTCTAATGATACCTTCCAGCTGAGCATGAAGAGGTGTGACTGTGCCTGTCTCTCTCCTCCACTGGACTCACTCTGTTATTTGAGCACAACCTATAGTTTATTCATCTTTGTAAACGCCATTGCAAGCAAGGTGCCTTGCACTCTGTACATGCCTGATACTTGTGAGCAGAGCAGAGCAGAGCTGAGAGACAGCGTGTCTGCTGGACGCACCTCTCCTGGCCTGTAAGGGGTAGTCAGCTGTGTCAAATGGAGCAGCGCATTTAAGACTGCAAAAGGCAGGCAGTGATAGCACCTTGACTGGTGGCAGGACAAATGCTTATCAAAGACATAAAAGAAAATCCCAGACAGGAGAAAAATGTAGGACAAAACCCTAATTCCTAAAAAAGGCAACTTACTAGACCGATAGATACTAGAGGAATCCCTGAGACTGTCACCGTTACATACCCTTTTAACTTGGAACTTAAGCCACACTCATTGATCATCTTTCATCCGAACAATAGATGGGCTTATAAAATAAATAGCGTTGTTGTTGTTGTTATGTGCCGTCAAGTCAGACCTGACTCATAGAGACTCCTCCTTGGGTTTCCGAGGCAGTATCACTACGGAAGTAGATTGGCCAACCTTCCTTCCAAGGAGTGGCTGGTGGGTTTGAACTGCCAGCCTTCTGGTTAGCAGTCAAGTGCCTTAGTCACTACGCACCTGTGAATACTGTGCTCCCTTAAATAATCCCTTAAATATGAGACCAAATAGTCAACATTGACCCAAAAGCAAAGATGAAAAAGTAAGAAGGGGCAGGGAACCTAAATTAATGGCAGCAGAACAGAATGGAATAATAAAATGGTGACACATTGTAAAAAATGTAACCAATGTCACAAATTTGTCTAAAAATTGTTAAATGAGAAGCTAACTTGCTGTGTAAACTTTCACCTAAACACAATAAAATATTACTGGGTGGGGGGAGAGGCTAACTGCTTTTGAAAGGGAAAGAGGTCTTGAACAAGTTTGTGGACTTGAAAGAGTATCAGTAGAGATGATCCAAGATGGAAAAGGGACAGTCCTGGAACAGGCAAGCAGGTACGGAATCAAGGACACAAACGAAGGAGTTAATCTTGGAAAGGAGGGAGGGGATACTTATTACTTGGAAGTAGGAGAGATGATAGAACTGGTAAAGACAGAATCGCTGAGGCAGAAAGGAGGGAGGATAAGGTGTGTCAGATGGCCAAAATTTTGCTCATCGTTGTGAGAGCGTGAGTCTGGGGCTTAAGTAGAGTAGAAAAGTTGCTGGGAAAAAAGTAATAGTCAATGAAAAATAAATGAAAGAATACTGAGTGGGAAAGGACAGCCATCAGTTTGTGGAGGAATTTATTAGTGTTTTGTTATTTATTATTAGATGCTGTCGAGGTGGCTCCAACTCATAGCAACCCCACATACAACAAAATGAAACCCTGCCTGGCCCTGCGCTACCCTCACAAGCGTTACTATGTGTGAGTCCATTGTTGCAACCACTGTGTCAATCTATCTTGTCAAGCGTCATCTTCTCTTTAGGTGACCCTCTACCAAGCATGATGTCTCTCTCCAGGGACTAGTCCTTATCAGCCTAGTGTGTGTCTTTGTAAATCAACCCTGAGTAGGTCAGAAGTAAACAAATTGTCTACTTGGGTGTAAGGATGGCAAGCGGGTCTGGAAAAAGGGACTGAGAGGAAATTAAAGATGCTAATGATAGAATCAATGAGATGGCTGAGCATGGGGACCATACCTGGAGAAAGGCAAATAGGGTCAGAATTCTGGAGATCAAGTTTTGAGCAGCTGGGCAAGTGCTAAGGGTTTGTAGGCCAAAAGTAAGAGGGAAAAGCTGGTGCAGCAAGTGTCACGGTATGAGAGAAGTGTGAGACTGGAAGAAGACTTCAAGGCCTAGGGTCTTGGATTAGTGATATGAGAGGCTGGAGACTATAGTAGGTCAGCCAGAGAGAAGATACTTTATTATAGCTGAGACCATCCCCAGAGGCCTGCGTACTGAGTGTTCTCTTCATGAAGGACATACAGAAGGTGATAGCACAGAAAAGGAGAGGACAACTGTGGTCAGATCTTAGAGTTATCAAGGATGTGAGAGAGCAGATCCTACAGCTCAACAGATCACAGCACAGGGAAAGGGCTGTATATCTGGAGGGGAAGGACTCCTTCCCAGTAGGGAGAGTTCCTGGAGACATGGGGGCACAAGTGTGGAAGGAATCTCGAGGATGAGGGACCGTGAACATTCCTTCTGGTTTAGCAGCACAGTGGCAGAAGTGGTCTTTTTTTTTTTTGGCGGGGGGGAGGATTGGAAGTGCAGTAGGGACAGAAAGGGAGGAAGAACAAGCAAAATTACAAGCTAAAGTATCAGGCAGATGCTGCATGCAGCAATAAGGGGTCTCTGGGTGGCATAAATGGCTTGTGCTCAACTATTAACCTGAGGTTAATAGTTCTGGTGGCACAGTGGGTAAGACATCTGGCTGTTAACCAGGTCAGTGGTTCAAACTCATCAGCTGTTCTGCAGGGGGAAGAGGAAGCACAGTACTTCCCTGGAAACCCAGTGGGGGTTGCTATGAGTCAGAACAGACTCAATGGCAGCACATTTGGTTTTGGTTTATTAACCTAACAGTTGGTGGTTTGAATACACTCAGCAGCTCCATGGAAGAAAGCCCTGGTGATCTGCTACGGTAAAGATAATGGCCAAGAAAACCCTATGGAGCAGAGTTCTGCCCCGTAACACACAGGATGGTCACGACCTGGAACTGACTTCAAAGCCCCATGTTTCGCACAGCAATAGTCAATAAACTATTAGAATTTACTTTTGGCCATGAACCTCTAAGTAAGATTCAGTTATGCTAGTCTAAAGGGCCCTGGATGTTGGATATTGACTGCAGTTATACATGACAGTGACTTTCCCTGGTGGTGCATATGTTTAAGGACTCAACTATTACCCAAAAGTTTGGCAGTTCAAACCCACCTAGAGGCTCTTCAGAAGACAGGCTTGGCGATCTGCCTCTAAGAGGTCACAGTACTCTGCACACACAGGTCACCATGAACCAGAATGGAATCAACGGCAACTGAAAACAACATACATGGCAGTGACACACAGGTTGAGGAGCAGGAGCGGCCAACTGCAGATGAGTTCCTCAGTTTTCAGTTTTCTGATTCACAAAATGGAGATAATAGTGCCTCCCTCATCGGGTTTGAATTGTTGGCATAGTGCTTGATAGACACTAAATCCTCAGTAAATGTTTGCTGCTGTTGTTTTAATGAATGTTACAGTCTGTTAATAGAGTAGGAGGGTTGAAATTTGTTGCTCAAAATCATAGTAGCAATAATGAAGGTGAGCTCTACCTCCCTTCCCCAAAAGATACAGAATATACCAAAGTAATCTTACAACATTTATTTCCACAGGTTCTTGATAAAAGAGCACAATCATGAATAAAAATACCATTGGACTTAAGGCAAAAATGATATAGCAAGCAAAAGCTGTCTCTGACCCTTTTCACAGAGGAGAAACTTCAGAAAGGAATTTTCCACCTCCCGACAATTTACAATTACTCAGGTCTCCATCTCATGCCCCTTCCCAGCTCTCATCCTCACCAATGGCCCTAACAGAAAAGTGTATTCACAAGTGGTGTATGTGTATGTGCTTAACAGGCTCATTTTATCTACTTGATAAAAGAACTGAGACAATGCTTTCCGGAAAAATCAGCCCAATATAATGGTGATGCCAAATCAAGGATTCTTCTTAGCTGAGGTTAGCTTTCTCTTCCAAAGATCTTACATTCCAAAAATGCCATTTTGGGTTCTTGAAATTTGAAATCAGTCAGGTTCAGGACCTGTGTTCCCTCTTATATGGAATTTCTCCATGCAGCTCTGGTCTTGGTCTGGAAGGCTGAATGAAGCATGGTGGAAATGAGAAAGTGGGAATGAGTGAGCACCCCAGAACCAGGCCACTGGACAGAAGACTGGGGAACAATCTCTCAGGGCATGCAATGTGCCTGGACTGGGGAGAGAGACCATTTAAAAGTCTGTGCTTGAGACTTGACATCTGAGTCACACAGCTTCTCCCCCAACCAGTATTAGGAACTTCAAGTGTTCAAAACTGATCCCTTTCCCCCAGGAACACTACCATAAACTTCAAGAGCCCTTCAATGGTATTTAGCTGAAGGTCCTCATTCAACCACTTGCCACATTCATAGTTTCACGTCCCTTCTTGGCATCTGGATGGGCAGTCACTGGGATGGTTTCCCTTCAGATTTAATCCTGAAAGACAGGTTCTGAAGAGCTCCAAAAGTCCCAACGTCAAGTGTAACATAAAGCCCTGGAAAATGCTATACAAGAACAGTGGCTGGGATTGGCAAGTAACAGTGTAATGCATTTGTCCCTCTCCCCCGAAGTGTGTTAATGCATCAGAGCTAGGTAGAGCATGGATAGAACATGTTGCCTGCTTTAAGAAAAGGAGACAACAGATGGAGGAAGCTGAGCAGTCGTCATGGTCGCCACTGAATCGTATGATGAGGATTGGTGAAGTTCTCGTGGGAGGAGCTGGGCCCCGGGGGCCAGTTAGACTGATGCCTTTGCTGCTGTCCGAGCCTGATACTCTTGTTTCGCTTTCTCCCTCTGCTCCTGTTCCCTCTGAATCAGCTGAACTTGCTCCAGACGCCACTGCTGCAGTTTCTTCTCATAGTTGGTGATGTCCTCTACTTCACAGGTGGGGAGCTTGTCCTTGATAAGTTGGGTGGTCAGAGTCAAAAGGCTTTTGGACTCAACTTTGCCCAGAGCCTGCAGCTTAGAAAGTAAGGCCTGTAGGAAATAAAGGACAAAAGGAGGGAGGCGGGGGAGCAGGTGGAAGAATACGGAGAGGAAAAGAGAAGAGGTTAAATCACTTGCAAAATATCCCAGCATGCTGCTTGCAGCACAAGTTGCTTTGTGCGGAATCTATCAGGTGGCCTTTCTTCCAGACACACAGCTTTTGCCATTGTTTTCACAGAGCAATTGTGCTAAGATGCACAATGCGTAATCTCTCCTCCTTTACAAATCACATAGTAAATAACATTCCTTATGCTTGGGATTCCCTATATGACTTCTTGTCTGAAGCCACAAAGACAGCACAGTGTAACAAATCTGTATTTCCACTCTGACCTACACCAAACACGAAGCAGCAAACACCAAGAACAAAGAATTCTAAGAGGCAAACAAAATGGCAGATGCGTATGATAAACAGGGGCTCCTCCATATCTTTTCCTTCAGAATAACTGAGATAAATGTTTGCCCTACTAGAGTTCCTTTCAACAGATGGAAATCGCTTCAAGGATTTCTGACTAATGGCATGCTAAACAGCTCCCAAGAGTGCCTGCACTATTATAAGCTTCCACCTGCTGTGTTCCATGGCAGGTCAGCCTTTACAGACTATTGCTTATAGCTCCATCTGAAATGGTAGCTTGGTTTGGTCGGTGTTATATTCCTGCAGAAGTATAGTACTAAAAACATTAATCTACTTAAGTGCTTTAAGATGGAAATCATCAGAGAGAGCCATTTATGGCCTTAGCTATAACTTATACCACACATCCATCCCCCTGCTCCACAAACAAATGCAATTAATTGGCATAAGTGGTAGTCCTCCTCCAGCAACAGGGGCGGAAGGTGAGCAGGGCCCATGGGCTTCAAGGACTGGCCAGAGGCTGTCACATAAAAATGGACCCCAAAGAAATGATGGCATTCTAGTAACAAGCAGGCCACAGGAAGAAAAGGAAATATAAACTGATTTCTTCCTGACATCACTCTCCATGTGCTTCGAGGCCAAGAAAACAGCTTGGGACAGAAGAGCAAGGACTCAACACTGTGTCAGCAAACTTTTGTTCACAACCAAAGTCTCATGGGCTAGTTACTCTCAGTCTTGGTATCGTGTAACGTGGGAAGAGCAGTATCTACCACTCCTTCTGTGAAGATAAATGAAAAGCAATGACATCTATCACTAAGCTAGCATTCAAACAGTATTCATCTCTTCTTTTGATTTTCATAAAAATGCATTTGTGCAACAGCGAGAGGTAAACATTTAACGCAGGCACAGATTTTTATTCTCTGAGACTAATAATACAGGGCCTATGAGAAAGAGGTTGCAACTTCTAAGAGTGGGTAGCAGCCTCTGTCAAGGTGAATGTAATCTATGGGGTTACAAAGTTGTTGCTTTTTAACTTTTCCAAAATCTGTGGTTAACTTCCAAAATCTAAAGTTCAGAGAAAAGGATAGGGATGCAAATTCTCAATTTAGCTCTACTGTCAATTCTCAGTTTATGTTGGAAAAATTGTTTAACCTATCTTTCTCTTTCTCAGTTTCAAACTATATGAAGAGAGAAGTAATGGGAGAAACAGCTGCTAAAAATACAATAATAGAGTTGCCTTTATAAAATGAGCAAACAGCTTTCCCATAGCTAATTCAGTACAATTACTGAAAATATTTAAATGTATTAATATAGTAAATTTTACATCTCTCTGTCTCAAAATGACACAAGTCGTCTGGCATGGATAGGAAGGTTTTCTGCTAGATTCAAAGAATTCCCACACAGGCGGCACTTTTTTCTCTTTGCATATAAGAAATAAAGAAGAAAAAAGTCAAGACCCAGAAGTAAAGCTCAGAAGACAGGAACAGGCAGGAAAGAAGGACAAAAGGAAATGGGGAACCCAAGGAGGAAGTGGGAAGAACGCTGTTACAATGAAGGGATTGCAACTGATGTCATGAAACAAAATGTGTGTAAGTTGTTGAATGGGAAACTAATCTGCTTTATAAACTTTCACCCAAATCATAATGAAAAGCCAAAAAAAAAAAAAAAAAAAGAGAAGAGTTTAAACTTTCAGTTTGGCTCTTCTCTCCTAATGCTGATCAAAAACCATCTTGGGATGTGCAGATGAATGCTGCTAAAGGCACTTGAGTGCTCAGGAGTATTCTTGAAAGAAACAGTGCAAACTTGTTTACATCTTTCATCCTGTACAAGAGATTATTTCTAATGGCCCAGGGAACAACACAAAGCTGGCAAATACAGGCCACAAAAGATGCCTGCATCTTATCTCTATCATACTCACATGTGGCTGCCTAATTCCTGCCTGGGTTTCTGGGTAATCGAGCACATGGAAGAATAATCAGATGCTTTCTACCATGGGCTGGTGTCAGGCTATTGCCGGGACCAGGCAAGCTATTACCTACCCATCAGGCCTTCAGTCAGACACATCAGGGATGACATGGTGCCTCAGGGAACAAAACTGTTACTGATTAGCTTGAGTACAAAAAAGAGCATAAAAATTCCATTTGCTTCTTTTAAGAACCACTTCCTGTGTGAAGCAATAAAAATGTAATTTCTGATGTCACTTTTGAATGTTTCTGTGTGTAATGTGGATGCCTGTCTATGATCACAGCAGAGAAGCATGTTGAATGCACAGCTGAGATAGAAAGTCAGTTCTGTAGGACGTACCTTGAACTGTTCCAGGTACTGGGGAAGCTTGGACTGTTCGGTTTCCTCTATGTCTAAATACTCCACCATGTCTTCTCCTCTCCGGGAGTCTTCACCTTCTTGGGACTGTTCTTCTGAAGCCTCATTGGCTGGAGAAGTCAGAGCTTTCAGTACTGCATCCAGGACATCGAGCTGTGGAACAGAAAGAGAGGCGGGCTGGTCATCCAGAGCCTTGGAAGCCCGTTGAGAAGAGGTACTGGAGAAGGTGAAAGAAAGGAACAAACAGGATCTAAAAGAACCATGAGATTTCTCTTATAAAATTGTAGGAAATATAAATGGTTATATTATTTCACATTAGAAACACTCTATCAGATGGCATGGAAAACTCAGTACAAAACAAACGGTGCATGGATGAACTTGGAGGACATTATGCTGAGTGCAATAAGTCAATCACAGAAGGATAAATATAGCATTAGTTCATTGTTGTGGAGAGTCAAGGAAAGGTTGATATATGGAAGGAAACTTTCTTTGTTGATTGCCAGGGGTAGGAGGGGAGAGGAGGGAACACTGCCAAAAAAA